TTGATGCAAATAGTTGAAAACCGAGTATAACGTAGGGTGAACACCCTTTATATTGAGGTTGATTTTAAGCAATTGACTCGCGTCGCGCTGTGTTTAACGCGTTAATTGGATCCCGTTCGTTTCTTCAAATGAAATTCTGCGACGTGGAAAGTTTTCCATACTTACAGAGTAGATGTTATTCGTGTTACACTAAACTATTTTATTTGAAACATGATTGACAAATATGTCGGCAAAATTCTAACATTTCGTTATTGTTAGAAGAACATGACCATTAAAAGCATATTCTATTTACGACCCGTGAAAATGTCGCGAACAATCATTTGAATAGTTTTAATTGGTCCGTTTTACGCCAAGTGTGAGGTAACGAAATGAATTTTAAGCATGGATTGCGTCGCTGTCGCGTGTCTAAAATATTACGTTCTACGTGTAGGTATGTGTGTACATATCTACATAAAGCGAAATTCCATGCGAAATGGAAATTGCATAAATTATTCAAACATAGTTAGATGTTCTTGTGGTTTTTCAGTAAATTCGTAAAATAAATACACGTATTCAGCGTTCACCGACGATTGCGCGATATTTGTCTACCACCTCAATTTACCCTTGCGATGGTTCTACAGTCTCACAAGAATGTACTTGCAACATTTGCTTGAGACAAGCATTTATAGATTATTTGAAAATTATTTCAAGTATCAAAATAAATTTCAAACATTCTATCAATTTACATTGTACATGTACTGTGAGATATTTAATTTAAGTTCATTATAGAGATCAAAAATTTCCCGCTAATTAACTTAACTCTATATAACGTTCTGCGCATGCGCAGGGAATTAGTATTGTATGGGATGACTTTTTTGCTTAGAACATAGACAAGAGAATAAAAAAACTTGTCTTAGCTAATGAGAGATTGGAAAATTAAAGACTATCTTTAATTTAACTAGGTAGGGTTCAGAGTAGGGGTCCCAAAAATGGGGACCAGCACCCTCATTATTCTAAACTTTCAAAATTCCAAAATTTAGAAGTTAAAAGTATTCCAATTCAAAAATTCCAGAATTTCAGAAGTAAAAAATTTCAGAATTCAGAATTTCTAAATCCTTAATGGACCTGGCCCACCCTAGAATAAAGTCCTAGTTACGCCAATGATTTTCCCCAAACTATTTGTATTCATCCAAGACCTTATAGACCTGTAGTCTTCAGAGTCATAAATTCACGTCCCCTTCAAACTCGTTCAAGAGAAAATTGTCTTCTTTAGCTATTGAGATTTTTCAAAAGTTTGACATGTACTTTACAAATGTCGTCTCGCAACAAAAACTATCTCGTCCAGTACAAAGAAAGATACGTGGCTTGCTGGCTACGCCATTGCAACAAAAGGTTCAATCAATTACGGATACGTGCGATCTACTTACGTGGCTTTTTCACTGAAACTTCAGCGACAGAAACTTGCTTCCGGCTCCGTGAAATTTTCAGGCCTTCCAGTCCCTAGTGAGCAGCTTCTTTATCATTTACGCGGCCAAAAAGCTTTCACCTACACGCCTTTCTGCCATATTTCTCCCGAATCGTGACTTTCATTTCCATGCATTCTTCAAGAGTACCCTCCATCGCACGGGGGAATCGTAAATGCTTTCTAAAATAAAAGGAGACGTTTTCTATGTTACCCATTCAGAGACGCACTCGAGGGGAAGGAAAACGTGGGAGCTTTAAAGCGTTTTGTTCACGTCAGCCCTTTTGCATGCCTTCGTACATCTACAGATTTTTTTTATTTTATTAAGACCATCTACAGATTCGTAAGAAATTTTTCACCAATTTGCTTCGCGATCATCTAATAGGTGCACAACCTTTGGGCTCCCACGCGGTTAATAGGAACCCCAAAGATAATAATTCTGCAAAATCATAATGTTCACCCCTTCGATTATCACTATAGTCTAGTGATAAGGCGCTAACTAACTCTTATGAACGTGCAAACCGATAAACGCTTGGGGCAGAATAGCTAGTATCTAATAGTACTGTATAAGGGCGGACTGAAACTTAAATGTTTCTGGAGAGAATAGTGACATGACGGACCCTAATTGTAATCAATTGAATTTTCATGAAATCCTGATAGCCAATTCATCCCTGGTTCTAACTACTCTAATTGTAGCACCCTATAGCTAAGAATCTTTGTTTGTGAATTTCTTTCTTATTTTGCAAAATTATTACTTCTGAGGCATTTTGCAAAATATCCCAATTGGTGTTAAAAGTCTTAGGACTTTTATATCATATTTATTTTATTTCGGATGTCAATTAAACATGCACGTATGTACAGCCTTTTAAAAGCTAAAATATTTATAAACTTTGAAAGATCTAAAAAAAAATAGTTTTTCTATTCTTAACTCTATAGGTATTATCCAGCATTCTAAAGTACTCACTATAGTCCTTACTTACAAGAGCACTTCTCATTTAGCTCACTCAGATTTTAATGAGCTTTTGCATATGATTATTATACGGTTTTGGGTGTAGGCAATCAATAATAATTTAAAAGATATTTAATGTTAGAACGCCGATAGTACCTTATGTGTACTATTTTATAAAGAAAGACAGACTGTTGTTAGTTAGACAATAAAAGAAAGCTGTTTTCTTTGAAGAGTTTTTCTTTTGGAGTCAAAAAAAGAGTACAGAAAAGAGTACACCTAACTTAACCTAAAAAAATAATAATGCTACTCATTGGTGTAACTAACAATAAGTAGGGTGTAACTAACTATGGGCTTGTCCCTCTTCCCAAATGTGGAGTGGTCCTCTCACCATTTTAAGATTTTAGGGTTCTAAAATTCTAACCGATTGATTTATGCTAAACAAATCCTATGAGTATCTTTTAAACTATTGACCTTCTATACTCAATAATGTGATCTATCAATATGTAAAAGTTGATTAAAATTTGAGTCAGTTGCGAGACTCTCATTATCAGAGATGGGTTACAAATAAATGAAATCTATCGATAAACAGAATCAAACTTGCAGAACAAATGGACCGCGGAAGACTAATTACGTGTTCTGTTAGGACTAAGTTTTCTTTGAAGGCGTATTTGCAGGAAAAAAATTAACCTTCATTAGGATAATAGTGTACCTAGGACAATTGTCGCAGAACAGAGCAAACAACACCACTCACGTAACTTTACGTGACTTCGAACTACCAACCAGCTATAACTTCCGTCGTGCCTTCATTTACCTAACAAGTTGCCTAAACGTTCCCTTAATTCTGCGTACCGTGCCAAAACCCTTTAGATTATTTACGGAACACCGTCGATTCCTCTCATCGTGGCTAATTTTCTAACAGGCAGGCATGTTTGTTATTCGTTTATCAGATGATTGAGAAACTAGGGAAAACTCAATCAGAAGTTAGGCAAATTGTGATAATCAATCTCTGATCGATTGAGCGAAATTTACTTTATTCTACGTAATCGGCCGAGTGATCAGAGATTGCTACGTAAATGGCAGAGTTCGTGATGAAAAAGGTTAGACTGCTGTGTATAAAAATGATTTATTTAAACGATTATGCAGAAAACGAGATGCGTTCAGTTGAAGCTGATTCTGTGCTCCTGATCTCAGAACCTGCAGTGTCTACGGTTCTAACACTTTTTAGAGGATGGTTATTGTCTTCTTTTAGCACTGACATATCTAGTCTATATAAATATGTTATTAATACAAATGTGTTAGAATAGGTCAGGATTGTGGGGGTATGGAATTGTGTTTCTTTTTTTTGTTATAGTGCTATAAGTGTTGGATCGAGTAGGAGGAACCCGAGGTGATGGGAGGTCTGTAATTGGCAGTATATATTTATAGAAGCATAGTTTGTGTTACATACGATTCATGGATAGCAATAATTGTAATGTTTAAGAGGACAAGAAAGTGTAAGAGCAAAAGTTTTATGTAATCTCATACATTAAGCAAACTACTGTATACTATTATAGTTGCTTACTCAGTTTGTTACAATACTCATTATTTTACACTTTTCGGTTCTCGGCTTTCTAATGAACCTAGTTGCAACGGTAGAGGAACGTTAAGAACATTCTCCTACATCCAGAAACCTCGAATCATAAGTCCTATAGAAACTGAAACGTTCGTTATGAAGATTCTGAAGTAAGTGCCACACTGTCCTCAATGCCTTATCAGAGGCATCATCCAACTCGATGGGTAGCCCCTTCAAAGCGATGTTATTTCTGAAAGACAGTGAGACATCGAATCACGTCATCTCCAAACTATTCCTCTCTAACTCCATCGCTAGCCAATAGTTTTGTAACGTCGAATCGTCAGTTATCGTCTTTCCGGCCGAGCCATTACGACTAAATCGAAAAGGCAAATAGCGCAGCGCAACGGCTAGCTCGGTGCCGCGTCGAAGATAGGTGGTTGGTAACAGGCATCCTTAGGAGTACGATGGAACGTCTATCCCCGGCGACACGAGTACGGGTCTCGCGTGGCGATGCCGATGTCTCAGGTCACGAATTCAGGGTGCGCAGGGGAATAATACAGGCGTAGTCTCGAGAACGTCTGCGCGTGCTGCATTGCGGCTAGCCCACTCCCTAGTTCCACGCTGTATGGGCGGCAGGCAGCGCGATGGCGGAAGACAGGGTGGTTTGATAGCTGGGCCGGAGCGAGACAGCGGTAGGGAAAGAGAGCGACAGGGAAATAGGAAGAGAGTCGTCAGGTGAAAGAAGAGAGGGAGAGGATGCTGGTGTGGGTGAAACAATGCGAGTAGAGGGAGATCCGAAGAAAGGGTAGAGACAGAGAGGGAAAGATACTCGTATAAAGAAGGGTGGCGGAGACAGAGGCGAAGGGGGATAGAAAATAGAGGAGAGAGAGAGAGAAAGAGAGAGAGAGAGAGAGAGTGTAGCAACTACCCCCCTGTTTTGCAGTTACGACACTGCACTGCAGCCAGGTACCCCTGCCGCCTCTTGGACGGGGCGAACTGGCCGGATAAAACCAGTCGTCGTCTCGTGCTCGTACGGGACACGCGACCCGGCGCTGTTTTCTTTTCGACGAGCCGCAAAGATGTAGTTGAAACGGCAAACTGGGTCCTCTCGGCTGGACCCAACCGTTACCAGCGTAGCCGAGGGAACGTTGTGTCGCAGCGAATCGGTTTACTTTTTTGCCTTCGCCCTTTTATCTATCTAAATCTCTCGTATATTGTCAGTGATATTAAGAGATGGTACAACTATTATATCGTAAAGCGTATACTAAATTGACTCCAGATACCAGAACCTATATTTAGCGGACTGAGTAACACCAAAGAAACGTATTATTCTCGTTGTTATTATTCTTATTATTAACGTTACTATTATTACCGTCATTATATTTATTAACACTGTATATACGTGTGCCGTGATACGCGAGTCGTGAAATCAGCTTTGTTTACGGTCAACGCTGCATCATTTAGTGAAAAGGTAAGACAGTAGAGGGATTCGAAAACCGATAATCATCCTTGTTTCCCTTTTCTAAGTTCCTTTGATTAATTCGTACGTAGATATACCCTGCATCCGTTCTGCAAGATGATGAATTGCTACTTTGCACGATACCTTTCTACGCATCCCTTTGCCGCCTAATACTTTACGAACGTTTCTAAAATCTTCCTATTCTCTAAATGTTCAGTTTAACCTAATGTTGCATTTCGTTTTAACCCTCGGACGGCGTACCATGGAGAAAGCCCTAATTTTAATTTAATTTTGTATTTTACATTATTTTCATTTCCTAAGTTTTACACTGTTCCTTTAAAAATTATTTTTGCAATATTCACTTTAGTTTAATGTCCTTGTATATGTTTTATAAATTTGGGTCTCGATTGATCCAGACTCCACTGTTCAAGGGTTAACTTGCTCTATGTTGAAGCTGGTAATATGATAAATATATATATTTTATGTGAAATTTCTTTCCTTCTCCTTGTATATTATTGATTTTCAGAAAGATAAAGATATTAAAGAAATAACAGAAAGATCGTCTTTCTAGAACATGGTTCTGTTTTGTAGGAAGGAAAAAAAGCTATTGTTTGATTAAATAATTAATATTCGAAAGTATCTAAATAAGTCGTGAATGTCAGGAACCGATGAAGTTCTTGATTGTTTCGTGATTCTTCGATGTTCGTTCGGGCGCATTAAAACCAGAGTACCATTAGCGTCGCCGTATCAATTTAGCAAGTCATTATCGTTATCGTGATTACCATCGACGTGGCACGAAAGAGACTCATTATTGCCGTTATTGTATCTTGAGAACGGTATCGCATCGTCGGTCTATGGTTGGCGTTGGAAGATGAGTTAAGGATACTGTTAATCGTCGGCCAGCCTTTTATCGATTTTAACTTCCCTATCCATCCTTCCCGCCTTTTTGCAACCCCCTGAATCCGCTGGTTCGAAACCAACTGACTGAACCGGATTTTTCTTAAGGAATAAAGACCTCCGTTAGTCAATCAGTTATAACGTCGTTATAAGAATCGAGTTGAGCTACTACCGGTTTCGTCAGCCTTCATTTTATTCTGTTTGCAAGGAAGAAACGTTCTATCTTGCAGCTGACACTGCATTAACACACGAGTTGGTACATCTTTTGTGGTATGAATAATTCTATACAGTGAATGCTTTGTGCCTGATTTCATAAGTGACTGATTTTATAATTCTAGGTTATTGAACTATAATTTGATAAATTTTTACAGTGAACATTCGAACTGTATATAATTTTGTATTTATTTCAGATTAAGGAATAGTTGATATTTTGGCTTCATTGTCTTTAGGTTATTAGTTATGATACCTTTTGAGCTAGTTTTGAATCTATTTATAAAAATATTTTTGCATATATTTCATACTGAAAATTTTATCAATATAGTAACAGTTTGATGAAAAAGATTCACAATGAGTCAGAAATCAAATATTACCATTAACAAACTAACTGTATTAAGGTTGAACTATTAATTGTTTTTTAAGCTGAAATAGTTTAGATAAACAAATCGAGTTTTTCTGTTACTCTGTATTAATATATAAATAATCTTCTGCAACGTTATATATTACATGTAAATTCTTTTCTATCTTCAAATAAAATCAAAGTTTTATTCAAAGGAACCGAAACGCTTTAACGATCAAAATATTCTCCATTATTATAGATGACCTTTCGCCATTGTTCTGGCAGTTTGCGAATTCCATTGGGATAGAAATACGGTGGTTTCGAATCAATAAATTCGTCCAGGCATTTTTGGATATCGTCAATTCAATTGAACCATATATTTATCAGGTGCTGTAATAGAGATTTTAATAAATGATAATTTAAAAGGGCCATGTAGACCCTTTTACCGTTATATGTCACACACAAGAATGAATTAGAACAGTGACAGATCGGATTAAGGTTACTGGGACTCCGGGGCTATCAAACCTTCGGGAGCTCTTTGGTTGAAATTGAAAGCTATTTTAAATAAAATTAAATAATATTCAATCGTAAAGAAAGAAAAGCAATAGTAAACAAAATTTCATTCAATATTTTTTTATCTAATAAGTGGAAGACTTAAAAGGGGGCCCTTAAAGTGAGGCCGGGGGAAGTAGCTCCCCTCAGACCTTCCCTTAATCCAACGCTGGGTATTGGTTAATCCTCAGACGGCGGACCATGGAGAAAGCCACGATTTTAATTTAATTTTGTGTTTCATATGAAACTCTTTCGTTAAAAAGTTATAAATTCAACTTTAGGATAAAATCCTAGTACATACTTTGTAAGTTTGGGTTACAATTGACCTAGGTCTCGCCGTTCAAAAGTTAAGTTTTTTTAGATTTTGCCTGAATCGAAGAAAGCCTAGATTGCACGCGATCAGTTAGTAAATTAATTTTTATAGTTTCTCAAAAAATCTCAAGTGATTTAATCCATTTTTAATAAAAGCTATTCTGTTATAAACGGTACGTTAATACTTTTGTGAGCCACTGTATGTATTTGCATAAATACCCGCAGTCTAATTATCAATGTAGAGGTGTCTGTTACAATTCCGCACGAATAGTAGAAAATCAATTCGTGTATCAGGTAAATTTCATGTTAATTGAGATTGTAACGTAATTATGATAATTTGCAGTCTATGTACACGCGTGTTCCGGAGCTTGTTTACGATCGCTGTTGAATGGAGACTTTCACTGCATCCGTTTTATCGATTTTGTAACTCCCGTCTGCATCGTATAATTTATAATATTCTGGTGTGTGTCGCATGCTGAATGAAAGTAGAAATTCTATGTAAATAAACGAATAAAATAAGGTATGATTTATTTTTGTGCTGGTAACTGAAGTATGATGACGTTAAATAATAATATTGAGTTTATTGCCTTAATTATTCGGCTAGGTAAAATCATTTTTTTTGTGTCCTTAAATTTCAATCAGACTTAGGATTTTTACTTAAACGTAGGAATTTAACATTAAAATACAGATAGAAATGTTAAAGGATAATTATTATCTTGATTTAACAGCCTCATTAATAAGGAATATTAATTCATCAATTTCCAGAGACCGGAAACACGTTATTTTTAATATAATAGTTTCTATGTATTATAAATTAAAATACAAGTAAATGGGTAGTTAAAGTGATTACTTATTTGTAACACTATAAGTATTTATTAATAAAAGTAGGTATAGCAAATAGGCAACTTTATAAAAATAGCTGGTACAAATACGTAGTAGAAAAAAAGCAAAAAATTATAACCATGAAAGGTTTTTATCGATGACCGTCATTAGGAATTTAATTTGGTTAAATAACTAATTCTAGAACAGCGGAATCTAAGAAAATCAAGACCCAAACCTACAAAACATGTACAACGATATTAATCTAAAGTTGAATATATAATTTTTAAACAAAACAAGAATAATTTTAAAGGAACGCTGTAAAATTTAAAAAATGAAAATAATATGAAATACAAAATTAAATTAAAATTGGAGCTCTCTCTTTGGTTCGCCGTCCGAGAATTAAGGAACAAAACACTTTAAATACACCATTAAAATTACACTGATAATGTAAAATAGGATAGTGTTAAAAAATTAATCCTTAATATTTTCAGTGATTCATTGTGTGTCTGACTAGATATGACTTTTTGTACTCTGGCGGTCAACGCGTTAAGGGGTTACAAGTGTCCTCCACTCGATTTTGATGAAATTCAAATACGATGCAATGCCTACTCGAAAAACTGTTCGACACATTTTTTTTAGCGATAAAGGGCCACTGGTATTTTTTTATATTGAGGGAATGAAAGTAGGCCTTAATGTTAAAAGAATAAATCACGTTCGCGAAATATCTAATTTTTCATATTTTAACACCGAGCTTTCGTAACATCATGTTGTATAATAAAAGTAATCGCTTTAAGTCAAAGGAAATCAATTTATGATAATTTCGTAGTAGGTATAGGTGTAAAAATTGACGACTTATCGCATTACATAATTTTTAACGTCATATTTCATAAGTATTTCATTTATCGTAGGACAATGTAATTTTCAATAAAATTTATTTTATGGAATTACTTTCTTTACGCATTTAAAGTTCTTGAACAATTTCTTATTTCTCTGTATTTAATACAAAAGTATTATTTAAAATTCATTCTATTTTAGTATCTATCTGAAGTTATTTTCCATTCAAAATTTAATAAATACTTTATCATTTTATTGTCAAAAAAATTAATCCATATATAACTAATCAAAATGCCGACGGTTGTTCAATACAATTTCGTGTTGATATTTTTCCAAAACTCATTAATTTTCTCTTTTGTCACAAACTAAGTATTGTTTTGTTAATTTGAATGAAGACATGATTTGCAACTACAAACTACTTTGACGTTAAAATTGATTACCAGTTTGTTGTGTACGCATATTGATTATTATGAATTTCTCAAAATTTATCGTTTTCGTTTCCATAATTAACGAAATTCTATTTTATAAATAAATATACGTAGAATGGAAATCATCCAAAATTTAATGGGCACTATAAACAAATGTAACAGATTTCTTTCTAACACCTTTCCCCTTTTTAGGCGGGGATCTACTGTTGAATTACTTGTTTATAATGCAAAAAGATGTGTTATGCAATTTTCTATAAAATGATGTCCTGCATAATAGAACTTTTTTGTACATGAATAACTTAGAATAGAGTACTAGACGCGTGAACAAATGGGGGGGGGGGGGGTACAATTTAATATAATTTTATAATTAAATGAAAAATTTAAAAAGTCTTAAATAGCATTAATATCATAATAATTACGTAAGGTAGCAAATAGAAAGTTTAAATTGAACAATGAAGCGATTGCATTCTAAATACTTGCAATTATAACGCACCGTAATAAATAAATAGATCATATACCTAACTTTTTATATTTCATTTAAGTATATTTTATTTCATATGGGTATTTTAGTATTACAATTGTAGAATAAACATATGAACATGTTTGAAATC